CTCTTGCTTGTTTAGTGTTATATATATATGTGCACTCCTGTATGTGAACTGGCCTTGTGGCCTTGACCTTGTGCTCGGACTGTGTGGTGACTTCGTGATCCACCCTGAGCTTGCTTTGCTTTGCTTTGCTTGACTGGTCTTGTGACCCCTTGTTCTCCCCCACTTTGCCTATGAGGGTGTGTTAGAACATATAGCTTTTGCATATTGTGTAGGCTATAGTGGGGTAGCCCATAAGGGATACAACCCAATTAGGGTTAGTACTTGTACTCAGTTCATTCATAGTTCATTCATTCTCGTTCAACTTTTCTCAGCACACACTGCCCGAATCGACAACAGTCAACACCGCCACAACGACAGCTTCGACCCTCAAGCAGTCAAGTCGCCTCCACGCAAGCGAACCCCACAAGTCAGATGCAGTCCTCAACGACATCGTTGTCAACACAATCTGCACAAGGAACAAGAAATATCGTCAGCTGCATGGCAAGATTGTCAGACTCCTGCATCACCGAGTCACCGCGACACTACTCACCGGAAAAACAACTCAACAGTACCACACCTCGCCGCGAGTCACTTCAACCGAATCCAACGTACGCAACCATCGCCCGGAGCGAGCCATCCAGGAAAGACACCTGGTTCTTGGACACTTGCTGCGGACAGCACATGTGCTCTTCAGGACGCTTCGTATAGCAAGAGTACCAACTCCAACACGAAGTAGTCATCACCGTCGCCAACAACCAGAACCTGCGCACACGACGACAAGGCGTGGTTCAACTTCAGTCAAGAGAGACAAACGTTATACTACAGATGTCAAAGGTATTAATCGCGGAGGGACTCGGCTACAACTTACTGAGCGTCAGCCAGTTGATGGCAAAAGGCATTCACCTCGAAGCAGACAGCACCACCCACGAGTTCAAGTTGTACCATGGGCGAGGAGGTCTCTACATCGGCAAGGCAGTCTTGAAGAACAATGTCTTCATTCTCGACTTTTTTCCAGACCTCAGCACCGCCGACAGCGACGGGATCGTCACCTTCACCTCTTGGACACATCCACCGGAACTTGACCCAAACTTCAGCCCCGGCGGTTTCTGGTATTCACACACGATACCTGAAGCAGAAAGAACAAGAGCGTTAGCGACAATTCAACATCCGGCAGCAGCAGAGACAACATCGGCAGCAGCAGAGACAACACCTGCAGCAGCAGAGACAACATCAGCAGCAGTAGAGACAACAACGGCAACAGCAGAGACAACGGAGACAACACCGGCAACATAAACACCAATCGCTGGTCCTTCAACGGCACCAATCCTCGTCGACGACACACCACCGACACCCGCGCAGCAACTGCACCCAGCATCACGAGAAGTTCATCGAAGCGCCAACTTCACCGCCATCTTCTATTCCAACTCCGATATGTATCGGCGCTCACCTGGACATCGTGCCACCAAAGGAACCTGGCACGCAAGAATGGGACACCCAAGCAACACGGTGTTAAACAACACGATAAGAGCAGGCGTGCTCGACAAATACTCTCTACTCCTAACCGACGGCAGAGAACTTCAGCGAGCCCGTGGAACATGCTTCACCTGTCCCGAAGCTGACTTACCATATCAACCGTTCGCGTTTCACCACAACCCAAGCGCACCAGCTTACGCGCCACTCGAGAAGGTGTACAGCGACATCCTATACAACCGCGAGCCTGGACAAAACGCGTACAATTACACCATCACCTTCATCGACGCAGCCACTCGATACGTCTGGCACCTAAATCTTCCAAGCAAGGACATGGCCTTCAAAGCCTTCGTCGCCTGGCTTCCAGTAGCAGAACGAGAATCGGGCGTCAAACTAAAAAGCTTCCAGTCAGACGGGGGAGGAGAATACACCTCGACTCGGTTCAAGGAGTACTTGGCAGAGAGAGGAATCAAGCGCCTCATCTCCCTTCCCTACGCCCTTCAACAGCAAGGTGTAGCAGAAAGGATGAACAGGACACTCCAGAACACCATGCGCAAGCTGCTGCGTAGCATGCACCTGCCCAATCACCAGTGGCCCGAAGCAATGGACCACGTCGTCATGCTGCACAACTTGCTCTCGTCATCATCGCTTCCGAACAACGCATCACCGCATCTGCTGTGGACAGGAAAAATGGGCAGCACAAAAATGTTACGAGTCTTCGGCTGCATGGTACAGTACCGGCCTCCATCAGCACGAGCTGGCCGATTCTCACAACGCGCACAGTGGGGACTACACCTGAGCATCGAAAAACACTACAAAGCATGGAAGATTTTCGACGTCGAGACAAAGGAAACAGTAGCAGCACGTGATGTCATCTTCTACGAAAACCTCACCCTCCGATACTACCTCACCAATTTGCAAGAAGGAAACCCCGACCGCTCCGATGGCTTTGTTGGCACACGAGCCTTTGCCTCAGCAGAAGATGAAGCTGACTGGGACGAGCAGAACGTGGACAGAGCCTCGGAAGAAGTAGGACCTCTACCCTACTGCTCAGTAGACGCTCCAATGGACGACGAAAACCCACGCGAAAGCATCAACGCCGAAACCTATTACCACTTCGCAGACAACGGTTACGTTACACCTGCACAAGTCAACACCGATGAAGCAGAACGCGTAGGACCCAATTTCGCACCTGATCCAGAAGCGGGAGACGAAGCTGTTTATCCCAAGGACACGTCACTTCCCCGCTACACACAGAGTGGACTCCAGATACTCGGGCTCGTCACCGCAGTCCACGGCACGGCCATTCCTAAGGAGCCTGCCACAGTTCAACAGGCTCTGGGGGGGGAGCATAAGGAAAAATGGCGTGAAGCCATGGACAGGGAATTAAAGGCACTAGAGGAGCACAACACCACGAAAGTCGTCCCTGTCAGTGTGGCACGGAACAAAACGATTCTCACCGGAAAGTGGGTCTTCCGCGTGAAGACGAAAGCAGACGGCACCATCAACAAGTTTAAAGCACGATGGGTCGTACGCGGCTTCAATCAAGAGCACGGACGCGACTTCACCGAGACGTTCGCTCTAGTCAGTCGGCACACCTCACTTCGAATTCTTCTCGCGATCGCTGCCATGAAGAAGAAGAAGATGCGGCAAATCGACGTCGCAAATGCATTCCTCTACGCACCTGTTGACGCTGAAATCTTCGTCGAACTTCCACACGGCTCCAACGGAGAGCCCAACCAAGTCTGCCAGCTGGTAAAGTCTCTGTATGGCATCAAACAGGCACCGAGGCTGTGGCAGCAGTACCTGCACGCAAGACTCATTCGCATTGTATTCCGCCAGCTATACTGAATCCCGCCAGCATACGCGACTACCAGAGAAAGCTGGGCTGTCTCCTCTTCGCAGCCGTCACTTGCCGTCCGGACCTATCATACTCCGCGAGTCAGCTCGCGACCTACCTCAAGAAACCTGAAGCAAAACACATGGCGGAGCTCGAGCGCGCTCTCCACTACCTCGTCAGCACCCCAACAATCGGCCTGACCTAACATAAGAACGGGACCACGACACCTAGGCTAATCGGCTACGTCGACGCCGATCACGCTGGCGACTCCGACAACAGACGCTCGCGCACCGGCTACATCTATCGCTTCGAGCCTATCGGTCCTATCTCCTGGCAGTTGAGCAAGCATGAATTAATCGCTCTCTCCTCAGCTGAAGCAGAATATATCGCACTCTGCTCAGCCACCAAGGAAGGACTGTACCTTCGCGAACTCCTGGAGGAAGCCAAGCTAGCCTTGTTACCGAACTTCACCCTGTTCTGCGACAACCAGTCGGCCATTCGCATAGCTAATAAGAACGGCTTCGCGAACAGGACGAAACACATCGCCTTGCGATATTTCTTCGTGAAGGACGAGATCGAGAAGGGGAGACTCGAGCTGTCATACTGCCCCACGTCCGAGATGGCAGCCGACTACTTGACCAAGAAGCTCGGAAAACAGAAGTTCGAGTACTGCATGCTGCTCACTCGACAAAGCCACGTCACTAGCAGCTACACTCCAGAAGCGAAGGGGAGTGTTGGACACAACTAATTCTAAGCACCTCTGTCGTGTCGAAACACCAAGGCAGAAACGAAGCACAACATATCGCAGCATCAGCGAGTCAACCCTCGAAGGTTTAGCAACTGCTGGAGGTTACGTGAAAGTCAAAGGTCAGCGACCTTTGATTTGATAAGTACAGCGCGACAGCAAGGACACACAAATGACTCGCTACAGAGCAGTTGCCCAAGTCGTCACTGTATCGAACCGCAACAGCAACAGTAAAGTAGTTATAACTGTATCTCTTCGTATTCCTTGTATTCTTATATAATAGTGTATCTCTTTGCTTTAATCAATCTACTTTGCCCTCACATACTAGCGCAAGGTGGTTCACAACTCTTCATTAAAACACTTCCTCTATTACAATAGTCCTACCCAGAGTTCACCCCTGCAAAGACCCTAAGGGCTATTTTCTCAGCCCAACACTATATACGGGGGATTACGGTATTCATTTTGAACCACTGTATACAGAAAAGGGGGGTCTTCAATTGTTTTATAGCAAAAGGGGGGTCCTCTCACATTTGCTACATATTAAGAGTCCCAGTACCGATTACGAGTCCCGGGGGTCCTTTTTTCGGGAGGGTCCTATATCCGGGGAGAATACGGTATAACACTAAAAGGGTTGAATTTGTATCTCCACTCCTTCCTGGTAGTTTTCACCATTCTGCTGTATGTATTCTGACAACGAGTGGTAGTTGAGTGGTGCAACTGTGCGTTTTCTGATTTCATGCACTGTACAGAATATGACAACACCTTATTAAGCATAAAACATGTAATACATATTTAGGCACAGATACTTCAAACAATCTTGGTGAGTGCTGAGTGTTGCATAAGAAAACTCTAACAATCAGTTACGTACGGTATAAGTCAATTCCACCACTCCTGTAGCACCCATTGGATTCTGGCTGGCCTGCCTTGGTGCTGTGGGTGGTGTGCCTGCAGCCCGTAGCATCAGATTCAGAAGAAGATCCCACCGCCCGTGCCTCCCACAGGCTGCTCACTGGCCTGCCTTGCTGCCGCTGCTCTCAGCTGTGCTCTCAGCCTTCTGGCAGTGGGCGACGGGGGCAGACACTTGCGCATGTGGGCAGGTGGGGGTGTGGGGCAGCGGGGCGAAAGCGAGGAAGAGGAGGGGGAGAGGGAACGAAGGAAGGGGAGGAGGGGGAAGTTTGGGAGGAGGGGGAAGAGAGGAAGGAGTGGGAAGATTGGGAGGATGGAGAGGAGGGGGACGAGGGGGAAGAGGTGGAGGTGGGGGAAGAAACGGGGTACGAGGAAAGGACGGAGGGGGGCCGTACGGAGGCAAGAGGGTGACTGTTGAAACATTCACGTGGGGCAGAGTGAGAGTCAATGAGTTCTGTCTTTTGCTGCTGCTGCTGCCGCTGGTGCTTGTGGTTGCTGTATGCAATTTGGCCGGTGGCACAACCCCCACCAGTGTCGTTGCAGTAGCTGTCAGCATCCGGAGGAAGCTCGATGAACCGCCGCACACGCACAATGCTGTTGAACGACACACGCCGCACCAGCTTCGGTCCCACAGCTTGCTTCAAATCCGAATCATCCTCCTCTGGGCTCGTCCCTCTTGAATTCTGGCTGCGCCAAGTTCGGCCTTGGCTCAGGCAGGAAGTTAGGCTCGGCCGGGCCAGGCAATTTGATTCGGTGGTAGAATTCAGATGATCTGGGCAAGACTGGCTCGTTTTCAGAATGGAGACAGGGTTTACGGGAGGGCTTGTGCCACAGCTGTGTGTTAGGGTTGGGTGCTGGGCAGGTGCGGTGAATCTGGGGAGGAGCACAAGCATGGCCGGTGCACCAGTTGGTGGTGACGGGCGGGCGGAGGGGAAGTGAAGGGCCGGGTAGTCATGGGAGTGCGAGGGAGACGCGGTGCAGGAAGGAGGACGTGAAGCAGAGGCGGTAGCTGGGAGCGTGGCGGAGGGAGGAGAAGAGGGTAAAGGAGGGGAGGAACCTGCGGAGAGAGCGAGGGAGTGTGAGGAAGGAATGGGTGAAGAGAGGTGGGGAAGAGTGAGGGAAGCTGAGCGGGAGAAGCGGCGGGAGTAGAGGGAGGAGGCAGTCTGGGAAGGGCGGTGGGCGGTGCCATGCTCCTTATGCTGATGATGCTGATGCTTGCTACCGTGACGCCGCTCCTCACGCTCAAGGATCGGCTGTGCTGCTGCCTCCGCGTGCTCTGTCGCACTCCCGGCACTTCGCGCTCCTGCCAGGGCGGTGCCATTAGTCGCACTTGAAGTGGTATCGCCGAGGTTGGCGCGCGGGAGGACGCCCTCCATCACTTGCTGCGCCGCCCGCCGTAACTTCAGGGACGCCGCGAGTCGATGCGCCATGGCTGTCGCGATCGAACGCGAGCCGCGAAAGCCGGATTGGGAGAGGAAGAGCGCGGAGGGCCGGTGAGATTGGCGGAGGTTTTGTTTGGCAAGAGACGACTGGAACATGGCAGTACTTTGCCGGTATCCTTGCAACCTGGAATGCTCAAGAAACATGCTCTCTGAGAGCACGAATGCCTCCATTTATCCCCGTCCAGCATTCCAAAAAGGCCAGGCGGTTGTCGGAATCCGGGAAGGCCGCGAGCTCGAGCCAATGATGGCGTCGGGACTCGGCGCTCACAGGCCAAACCTTTTTAAGACGGAATCTCAACCACGAGTGCATCTTCGCTGCCTGGCTGGGAGTCAGACTGCGTCACACAGTCCAACCCTTTTTTCTAAACGGAATCTCAACCACAGAGTGCATCTCCTCATCTGCGGCCGCCCGAACGAGCAGAATCCAAAAACACGACCTGATTGGTTATCTCCGCTTGCTCACATCAGTGACACACGGTCTAAACTAAACCGAGTCACACACATGGTCTCCGCGGCCATGCGTGGAACGTACAGCCATCAGAACAAAAAGTTTTACCGCCCACCACTATCTAGGCCGAGATTCGACACAAACTTTTTGAAGAGGAAAATGAGGCAAGTCAATACTTTTTCGCGAGCCCGAGGGGAGGAGCCGTGCGAAACGAGGCGGGGAGATGAGAGGTCTGACAGCAAACGGCTCCAACCAGGATGGGTTAGCAGACCGGATTGGCTGAAAAGGACAACCCACTCAGCAAATCGCCAGCCAATGGATTATGAAAGCAAAAAAACTTCGATCTACCTAACAGTACGGAAATCTAGTAGCAAGCTTGCTTGGCGTGCAAGCTGCACCAGTGGAGGACGAGAGAGTTCGGAAGGATTAATGGCTTCGAGTCATCTGCTATGCCATAGATCCACCGTCTCGCAGGTTCGGCATGAGCGGTTGAGTCTGATCGCGTCACCTGATTCGCGAGTCGATAGAGTGAGAGACCATTACAGCGAGGAAAAGGTGAGTCTTGGTGGGAAAGCCATCGAATAGATCTGGTGGTCGATATGCCGTGTAATGATCATTCTGTACAACGAGGATGATGGCGGTGGGTGGGAGGCGATCATGTCATACAGGAGACGGCACTTCGCTATTGATTATCGTTCGATGCAGTGAACTGCAGTCGTGGCTGAAAATGTTATATGGTCAACAAATTTGTAAGGAATTTTCTCGGATTCCTTACTGGGTCACATTGTACGCGTACAACCTCGGTTTTCGAAAAAACAGGCTCAGTCTGCCGACCTTGCCTTCCGAACCACCACAGCGTCGCCTTCAGGTTTTCCAACCCCGAACCTGCACCCAACCATATCGCGACCCAGCGACCTCGGCCTAGCTAGCATTGCTAGTTCTAGGCCTCGTCGTTCACTCAGACATTCTAATCACTTCCGCGTTATTGAACTCTGTGCACTCTTCCTTTCAAAACTCATAACACTTGGTATCAGAGCTACTTTCCTAGGTTACCCTCGCGTTTCCGGGGCAGTTTGTAGAAGGGGAGCGATAGACTTGGTGGACTGTAAAGCGGTCGGCCTGTGAAATAGATATGATTATTTCACTCCGACTACGATAGCGTTTACGCCTTCACCGAAGTCAGAAAAATCGCTAGCCACCCCCAGGGCTCTCGTTATCAGGGTAAAATACCATTTTTGCACTGACTGGCGGCCGCTTTTTTTTCAGTTATCCTTTCACAAGCAGGGTAATGGATTTTTACCCTAGGCCAGAAAGTGTAAGTTTTTTTTACCCTTTGAAAAACCGCGTAAGTAATTCATTTCCCTAACTGTACACTATACGATCTCAGTCATCCTGTTACGGAATGCTCCGAAGCGAGACAAACCTATCTGGCCCCTGCAAAATGCTCCTAGCACCAAGACCCTAACCCGCGACCTTTCTAATCTTATCTGTAATCGAACAAACTAAGCCACAGAGTGTTGATATCCATTGTATATATAAATTGTGAAACAAAAATACCCTGGCCAAACAAACTAACTTTGTTTTTACCCTGTTTTTGTCAGGGAAACAATTTTTTTACCCTACACATCAGGGTTGACTATACCTAGAGCCCTGATTACTAAGGGTGGCCCAAAACGGATCTGAAGCCCTGGCCACCCCCCACCGTTCGATGAAGCCTGGGGCACATGGATCAGGCCGAGTTTAACGAGTTCATGCAACAGTTCCGGGCGATGCAGGCCAACTTGCAGACCATGTCTGTAGAGATGGAGCGTCTACGGAAGGAAAACGCCGAACTACACCAAGCGCGTGGTGAAGCGCGCCAGGATTCGCCTGTCATCGAGGACGCAAGAAGCAGCTCCACGCCTGACGAGCGGGTCTGGAGCGAGTTGGAAGGCTCCATGGATGCGGACGATGCGAGGCAGGCACAGCAGCAACAGTCTCCGCAACAGTCGCATGCAGCACCGACACGTGCAGCAGCGACAGCTCCGGCGACGACAGCAGCAGCGCCAACAGTTCACGCGGCATTAATGGCTTCAACAACTGTCAAAATCAAGCCGACAAACTTGCCCCCGTTTAACCCAAGTGACAAGTTCGTCATTGTTTCTGCATGGTTGTTCGGGGTGGAGGTGTTTTTAAATGCTGCTATGATTTATGATGATGCCACCCACATTAGCTTCGCAGTTTCACTGTTGAGAGGACCTGCGCTGGAGTGGTGGCGACAAACGTTGCAAGACGAAGGGACTTCGGCAGGAATAGCACGTGCGAACGACGGGGCTTCGACACCTGTCACGCAATGAGCAGCTTCGATTTTCGGGACGGCTACGATACGCACATGGAGGGAGTGGGGCGCCGCCCTGCGAACCAGATTCGAGCACATATCCGCCTCGGACTCTGCTCGCATGAAGCTGCGTGCCTGAAAGCAGCTGACTTCGGTCCAAGAATATACCAGCATGTTCTGCAACTTGGCGGACCAAGTGGACGACATGAGCGACGCGGAGCGGTTGGATCGCTACGTGGCGGGCCTGAAATATGAGATACAGTACGAGGTCCAACCAACGCGGCCACGCAGCCTTGACGACGCTGTCCGAGAAGCCGAGTCAACGGATGCGCTGATACAGTGGGCGAGATCGAGCTCTCGGGACGGCCCTCTATTTCGCGGACCGACTCAGCAGCCCACGATCAACAGCGTGGATGCGCCAAGCCGAGTCCTCGGGCCGTGCTTCATATGCAACTAGCTGGGCCACCTGAAAAAAGACTGCCCGAGGCTTAAGCAGGGGAAGAAGATGCCAGATTATAATGCTTGTCTAGTCTGTAGTGGGGTACTCAAAAGTGAGTATCACCCTTTTGGGCTTGCTATTTGTATCCCTTCACTTTCTAGTTCAACCATTCTCCTCTCTCAACTCTCTCGACATTTTCCTTACCTTCAAACTTAACTATCAAGTCACTTAAACCCATGGCTTCTAAGCCTACTAAACTCTAGTATCTTAACATGGTATCAGAGCGGTCTCGGGTTCGAATCCCGCTGTATGCACATGTAGGCCGTTGCCACTGTGCTCAGTCCTGGGCCTCCCAGTGTGGGGGGGTGTCAGTAGAGCTACAATGTGAGATCCCCGATCGATCCTAGGGGGGGTTACAGACGCGTTTGTCTAGGGGGTTATGGGCGCACTGACCTGCTACTGAAACAAGCCGTTTTATCCCAATGGTCTAGTAGTTGGGATTCTGACTAAAGAATGACGGAGAAGGGTCAGGAAAAGATACGAGTCAGTAACAAACGAGCGCCCTACTGACGAGACCCTGTCGCCCGACAATCACCATCCACACCGGATCATGGTACCGATCAGAGGTATCGACCAGAACCGGACGAATAACGTGGGTGAACACGTGGACGGGGAGGGTTAACGGTTATAAAATAAAAATATTCGTTGACAGTGGGGCGAGCCACAGTCTCGTCAACCTGGCAACTGCAAAAAAAATAGGGGTGAAGCTGAACAGGTGTCTACCGGAAATCGATGCACGGTTGGTGGATGGAACACCGCTGGCCATCCGAGATGAGGCGCGAAAAAATCGGATTGAGTGCGGCGACAATTTCGGGTTCGGCATGAAGATGTTGGCGACAACTTTGGACGGCTACGACGTGTTGCTGGGACGAGACTAGCTACAGCGTTTCAATCGACTGGACGACAGGGGCGTGCGTCGTGCGAGGACATGCAGGGCTGACAACGCTCCCGAAATGGACGGAACCGGAGCCGGTGACGACAAGTGTCAATGCTGTCAACATGGCGCGTGCGATCAACTTTGGAGCTCAGGCCTACAGAGTGCACCTGTAGGAGGTGGCAGCTTCCGAAAAAATCGCGGACATCGACACACTTTGCGCGGCAGTCCCTGAGGAGTTGGCGAGCATTATTCGGAAGTATCCCAAAATTTTCGCGGATGACCTCCCGGATGGTCTGCCCCCTCAGCGCCCAGAAGAACATCGGATCCAGCTGGAACCCGGCGCGCAACCCACTATGCGGACACAACGGTGGCTCAACCAACCAGAGCTCGACGAGTTGCGAAGCCAGTTGGATTACCTGCTAGCCAAAGGGTTCATACGGCCAAGCACGTCACCATGTGAAGCGCTGATACTGTTGACGCGGAAGAAGAACGGGGGCCTACGCATGTGCATTGATTATCGGGCGCTGAATTGGGTCACGATAAAATCGCGTTACCCGATCCCGCGAAGTGACGATCCGCTGGATCAACTTCGCGGAGCTCGCTACTCTTCGAGGATCGACCTGCGAGGAGGCTACCACCAAATTCGCGTGTTTGCCGATGACTGCTTGAAGACAGCTTTTCGCACACGCTACGGCAGTTACGAATATACAGTGATGCCGTTCGGACTGACAAACGCGCCCTCGACGTTCCAGCTGACAATGAACGGGATTTTTTGGGACATGCTGGACAAAAAGGTCATCGTGTACCTCGAAGACATCATGGTGTATAGCAAGACGAAAGAGGAACATTTACGGGATTTGGAGGAGGTGTTCCGGCGTCTACAGGAGCATCGGCTAATTACAAAGGGGTCTAAGTGCGAGTTCCTGAAACCGGAGTTGGAATTTTTGGGGCACGTTGTTTCCGGCGAAGGCATCAAAATCGACCCACGTAAGGTGGACGCCATCTTTAAGTGGAAGCCGCCGACTAATATCCCCGAATTGCAGAGTTTTTTGGGATTTGTTAACTACGTTCGCCGTTTTGTACCTAATATGGCAGGGATAACCAAGCCGCTGACCGACCTGCTGCACAAGGACACTCATTTTCGGTGGGGGGAGAGGGAACAGTCCGCCTTCGACGCACTCAAAAACATTTTGAGTTCACCCCCGGTACTCCGCCTCGCCGACCCATCTCAGCCGTTCGAAGTCATCACGAACGCCAGCGATTTCGCCGTTGGCGCCGTCCTGCTACAGGACTTCGACAACGGGCTGCAACCCATCGCCTACGAATCAAGCAAGATGCAGTCACCCAAACGCAACTACCCGGTCCACGACAAAGAAATGTTGGCCATCGTCCACGCATTTCGTACCTGGCGCTGCTACCTCACGTGAGCCGACGTGACAATTCGAACCGACCACAAATCGCTACAGTACATGCGCACGCAACCGACACTCAACCCACGACAAATCTGGTGGTTGGAATTCCTCGAGTCCAATTTTCGGTACACCATCACGTACAAGAAAGGCGCCAACAACATTGCTGATGTCCTGACCCGACCATCCATGCAGAACGCGGCGGTACTAATCGCCACACCAACCCGATGCTGACATGACTATTCTCCCACGGCTACAAGATTGACAGGATTTTCAAGAACCGGCACCAACAGGCTACTACGCAACACGACAATTACCACCTCAAAGCCGGTACGAACCGGATTTGTGTACCCTGAGTTACCCAAATACACGACTTCAGCCTTTCCGGGCATTTCGACAATTACACGGCCTACCAGCCTTTACAGGAGTTGCTGACGTAGGAGGTACACGACTCCAACATTTCCGGGCATTTTGGCATCGACAAAACACAGAAGCTGCTGCAGCGGAATTATTATTGGTCGGACATGCTCACCGACGTGCAGCGCTACGTGTCCACTTTCCCGACCTGCCAAGCAATGAATTCGTCGCGACAAAGGCCAGCTGGACTGCTGCAACCCCTCGCGCCACCCGAACGACCGTGGTAATAGGTGACGATGGATTTCGTCACGGGGCTTCCAGCTGGCGCGAGTGGCAACGACTCGATTATGGTTGTCGTCGATCGGTTGACGAAGATGGCGCATTTTGCACCATGCCGCGCGACGATCACAGCCGGAGATACCGCAAAACTCTTCATCTCCACCGTCGTACGCCTACACGGGCTACCTTCGACGATCATCAGCGCTCGGGATTCGAAATTCACGTCGAAGTTTAGGCCGGAGACATGGGCACAGTACGGCACGCGCCTGCAGTTTTCGTCGTCATACCACCCCCAAACCGACGGACAGACGGAACGGACAAATCAAACCATGGAGCAGCTGATTCGCACAAATTGCCCGGACATTCGCAAGTGAGAGGACTCGCTGCGGATGTTGGAATTCGCGTACAATAACGCCCCATCGGCCACGACTAAACAATAGCCCTTCTACCTGAATTACAGGATAGACCCCGTGGTACCCTCTTCAACGACCCTGGAAAACCCGGTACCACGATCGCAGCAGTTTGTCACGGAACTACAGACGGCCCGCAAAAATGCAGCTTACTTTATTCGTAAAGCTAATACAACAGCCAACCGCCCGGCGGACACGCATCGACGGGATTTACCTTTTCGCACAGGGCAAGTTGTCCTCCTGGACACCAAAAACCTCCGACTCCCGCAGCCGGCAAAGTTACGACCCCGATACGTGGGACCATTTCGAATCGTCCAGATGGTGACACCTGTCACTGCGGAGCTGTTGCTGCCCGACGACTGGAAGATACATGACGCGTTCCACGTCAGCCTCTTGCGCCACTATGAATAGCCGCAGACGCCAACTGTCGCTCGGCCAACCATTGCGCCGACCACACGCCGACAATGAGGGAGGGAGGGGAGGGTGGGGAAAGAATGAAACGGATAAAATGGTGAAAAACAGGGAGACTGATGAGAGGTGAGAAGAAGAGCGGCGAAGAAATAGGGTGGCTTGCTTGTTCTGTGAAGGCAAGTAGAAGAGACAATGATGGAATGGAAAAGAATCTTGCAACAGGGAACCATCAACCCTCAACCCGGCTTGGGGTTGGACACGCCCCCAATGCCCAGCAGGGAGATGCCCCCATAGTTAAACACCAGTAGCACTGTCAGCGCTGCCTGGGGTGGGGAATAGGAGAATGAAGGGGGTGGGGAGAGGAGAGAGGAGAGAGGAGAGGGAGTGGAATATTTAAACGATGGGGATTGAGTTGGGAAAGGAGGCAAGCAGCGGAGTCTGGGGAGCGGAACCTGGAAAGGAGAAAACTGGAAGTAAGAGGTAAGCAGGTTCAAGCAAGGTGGCAGCGCAACAGCGCAGAAGCGAAAGATTGTTGGTGGAATCAGAGGCGGAATTGGAGGTGGGATTGGAACTCTTGGGTGAATGGAGAGAGGAACGGGAAGTGGGTTTAGTTAGAGAAAGCAAAGCGGGGGAGAATACATGTGATGCGAGGAAGCAAGGAGAGTGTGTGTGTGTTTGTACTTAGGTGAAGATGTTGCGCCACATGACGCTGGTGATGAGCGGCGCACTGCACAGCATGGCAGGGGTGGGCACGTGGTGTGGTTGAGTGGGTGTTGGGAAGGGTAGCAAGGAAAAATGGGCAAGGGGACATGCCAAATGCAAAAAGCGGGGAAACTTGGAGGCTGGAGTCAGTAATGTAACCAGGGGCTGCTCTAGGAGGTCAGAGGTGGGCGGCTCTATGGTGAGGACCAGTGCTCCCAGCGTGTTCATTATGAGATTCACCCACAACAGCTGCCCAAGGGGGGACGTAGAAAAGGGTGTAGATGGGACGAGGGGTGGCAGCAAGGGTCAAAGAGGAGGGTGACAAGGAGGAGAGGGAAAATAAATGTTTAGCGGGGCATGTGGAAATGTCCAGTGTGCAGCCACGTCAGCGCGTGCCAGCTCAGCCTCAACAATGCGCTTGACGAGAGGAATGGGGTTGGAGGGTGCACTGTCGTGGATTGGGGCAAGGCAACGCACCTAGGCAGATGAGTGCGGAGGTGTTGAGAGTTCCATTAATGATAAGAAACATATGGGTTACTTATGAGGCACCTTGAAGGCAAGAGTTTCTTACATGAGTGGAGGAAACATGTGGGGTACTACGCCTACCGAAACGAAGATCGTGGGGATTTGGCGACCAAGTAGTAAAGTGAGTCCCCACACTCCCTCACGTTCCTCCTCCCACTCCCCCGTGTTCCTTCCCCCACTCCCTCACGTTCCTCCCCCCATTCCCCCGTGTTCCTCCCCCCACTCCCACGCGTTCATCCCCCCACTCCCCCGTGTTCCTCCCCCCACTCCCCCGCGTTCCTCCCCCCACTCCCCGCGTTCCTCCCCCCACTCCCCCGCGTTCCTCCCCCCAAACCCTCCGTGCCCCTGAGAGCGCGCTGAAGAGGCGGCGCGGGGCGGAGTTAGGGTGCATGGTGGCAGACACAAATGCACGGAGGGAGGGAAAGAAAGCAGACAGCCAATGAAGTGGCAAGCATGTGACCTGCACAGCACGGCACGGCACAGTGCCTCTATCTGCCCATAATTGATGGTCATGTGGAGAGCATTTATAAGGCCATTAGTAGCTCCACTAGCAAGCAAGCACCAACACCTGGTGACGAGGCCTGGTATGCACGATGACATGTGACGCACGGGTGTCCACCTCCCCACTCCTCCCACCACCTCCATTAACCCCTTGTCAATCTCCATCCTCTCTGCCCTATCCACCCTCTCTGCCCTATCCACCCTCTCTGCCCTATCCACCCTCTCTGCCCTATCCACCCTCTCTGCCCTATCCACCCTCTCTCTCTGCCCTACCCACCCTCTCTGCCCTATCCACCCTCTCTCTCTGCCCTACCCACCCTCTCTGCCCTATCCACCCTCTTTGCCGTATCCACCCTCTGTGCCGTATCCACCCTCTGTGCGGTATCCACCCTCTGTGCCGTATCCACCCTCTCTGCCCTATCCACCCTCTCTGCCCTATCCACCCTCTCTGCCCTATCCACCCTCTCTGCCCTATCCACCCTCTCTGCCCTATCCGCCCTCTCTGCCCTATCCCCCCTCTCTGCCCTATCCGCCCTCTCTGCCCTATCCGCCCTCTCTGCCGTATCCACCCTCTCTGCCGTATCCACCCTCTCTGCCCTATCCCCCCTCTCTGCCCTATCCACCCTCTCTGCCCTATCCACCCTCTCTGCCCTATCCACCCTCTCTGCCCTATCCACCCTCTCTGCCCTATCCACCCTCTCTGCCCTATCCACCCTCTCTGCCCTATCCACCCTCTCTGCCCTATCCACCCTCTCTGCCCTATCCACCCTCTCTGCCCTATCCACCCTCTCTGCCCTATCCACCCTCTCTGCCCTATCCACCCTCTCTGCCCTATCCACCCTCTCTGCAATGGGATGCAGTGAGGTCCTTGACTGCTCTGCCTCTGCTCGCTCCATCTGTGGGGCAGGAAAGAAAAGGAGCACGGAGGGTGAGGAGGGAGGAGAGAGCAATCGGATGCAGTTGGGTCCTTGACTGATGAAAAGATGTGGGCGTAGAGACTCTGTCTCCAACCGCTCATCAAGGGTTATGAGCGTCAGCCACCCTGTCCCCGCCCACTCATCAAAGGTTATGAGCATCAGCAACTGTGCCCCCGCCTGCTGCACCTGTGGGTTGAGAAAGAGGGGTGAGAGTGAGGCGGAGAGACAAGAGGATTGAGCTGCGAGCAGAGCAGATCACTCGCCCCTCCTGGACCCTAGAGCATCTGGTACTTGAGAGGATCACATGATCATGGAAGGGGTGCTGTTGATTGGCCTTTGAGTCATCTCAAAAGTCAACCAAGAGTATGAAGCCATGGCATCCCTCTCTGCCCACCGTACGCAATCGCTGCACATGTGCTGTGTGCCATGTTGTTGCGCATGTCAACCTGATGTTCTGCTTGCATAAGGTAAGGTGAGCCATCAAGGCAAGCAAGCAGATTGTAGGTGTGCAGTGCAGTGCAGTGCGTACCGAAGTTCCGCTTGCTTACCTTCATAGCCACACAGCGCCCATCCTTCACCTTAACCCTATGCACCTGTTCCCATCCCCCACAACCGCACGCCCCCACACCCGCACACAGACACATGCAGAGGCACAAGGCAGAACGAAAACACCCAAGAGTATTGAGGCTTGAGAAAAAAGGCTGGCTGGTCCAGTCTCAGATGCTAGAGTGGGGGCTGAATTGAAAAGGGCAGCCGGGGAGACATGGACAAGTGCAAGAAAGAAGCCCTTGGATAAAATCCCCACCGTCAACGTGGTATCCCACCTCATCCTCCCACCACATTCCCCCCTTTCATCCTACCCCAACGTTCTCCTCCCCCTTCATGCTTCCCCCTCAGCCTTCCCCCTTCCTCCCCCATCCTCCCCCATCCTCCCCCATCCTCCCCCATCCTCCCCCGTCCTCCCCTGTCCTCCCCCACCCTCCCCCTTCCCGCTGACCTGGGCAATGAATGCAGACCCAACCGGCTCCTCAAACCCTGCAAAGACGCCTTCTAGCCACACCCGCACCTCGTCAGCACTTGCCGTTGCCACATCATTCCCTGCCACGTCAGCGCAGCCAGCTCAGCCTTAACCATGCTCGGAGGAGAGGGAAGGGGTTGGCACTGTCGTGGAGGGTGGCGAGGTGACGCACCCAGGCTGGGGGAGGCATTTCTGGCTTGGCCAGGAGAGAGGAGGAGGAGTAAGAGGAGGAGGAGGAGGAGGAGGAGGAGGAGGAGGAGGAGGAGGAGGAGGAGGAGGAGGAGGAGGAGGAGGAGGAGGAAGAGGAGGAGGAGGAGGAGGTGATGGTGGAGGAGGAGGAGGAGGAGGAGAGGAGGAGGAGGAGGAGGGAGGAGGGGGAGGGGGAGGGAGAGGGGGGAGGGGCTATGTCCGAAAGAGACCCAGAGAGAGGGGGATATGCAGTGGTTGGAAAGCAGCTCTTCTCAGCTCTAGCTTGGCCAGCGTGGAGGGGAACTGCTCTGCCTGGAGGGGCGAGGCCATTGTGGAGGGGAGAGGGGAGGAAAGGGGGGAGGGGAGGGAAATTTTTGGTGGAGAGTTGAGGATTGGCTTGGTTAAGAGCCCTGCCTGGTGGGAGAAGAGGAAGGTGAGGCAATGTGGCTTCCGTAGAGATGCATGGCTTGTTATAATCACCTTGTAGCTGCCGTAGAGATGCACGGCTCGTTATAGTCACCTTGTAGCTCCTGTTCGTACACAGCCTTTAATCTAGACTATGAAGACTAATCAGAGTCTTAGTAGCTTACATGGGAAGCCCTGGCCTCAACTGTGTGAAGGAATTTGTCGAAAAAACGTCAAGGCAGAAAGTTGAAGTGATTTCATTGAAGAAGACATACAAAAGCAAGTTATAAGCAAAAGGATTTCTGATTTCGACCTCACGCTGCGCCTGATTCCGAGCTGAGTTGCACTCAGCTCGATTTCCAAATTCAACCATGCACCGAACGCGCCTCGAGTTCGAATTTCAGACTTCGTTGGACGCGCCTTTGACCCAGCATGACTTCTCTTCACTTCACTTGAAATCTCGACATTTCAGCCGTGTCCTTCTCCACTTCCTCATGCTTCCTCGTCTTCTCTTCGATTCCCACTACAGGTTCCGCCGCTGACGTGTTTCTTCTTCCACCGCCCCAGCATAGGTAGCTTTTCCTCTTTTTAGGTCATTGCCTTCCCTAGGTCACAGCTCGTCAAACCGGTTGCTTCTTAGATCGATGTAGATCGCGTTAGGTTGTTCTAGGTTGTGGCTAGCTACCCACCTCCAACAATTTCCCTTGTGGAATTGATATTAAAAATCCACTTCACCCCCACGGAATTCCTCCCTTCTGGCATAGGTACGAGCTCCCATGCGCCCCTGTCAGCCAAGGTGTTCAACTCCTCCTCAATTGCCACTTTCCACTGTTCCCTTTCAGGACCCTCTAGCGCCTCCTCGATGCTCACTGGTTCTTTGGGCAGGTTGTGAGTCACTTTTCCTTCATTAGAGACTAGGTCAGTAGCTGTAGCAGAGAGTAAGAAGTGTGTATAGATGTCCTTCCAGCACGTCATCAGCAGTTGTGCATACCGGGGGTTTGCGTTTTTTCACCCTCTTTCCTCTCCCCAACTCCTCTGTAGGTGACTCTGCCTCATTTCCACTGAAACCCTCCAATGCCTTGGAGGAGGGGGAGCCACCCGGGGCGAACCCCTCTTAATAACCCCCTTTTACAAAGGGAGAGGTGAGAGTGGGATGAGGAGAGGAGGTGAGGGGGAGCCACCCGTGGCGAACCCCTCTTAATAACCCCCTTTTACAAAGAGAGAGGTGAGAGTGGAATGAGGAGAGGAGGTGAGGGGGAGCCACTAGTGGCGAAACCCCTCTTAGCAACCCCCAAGTCTCCACCCCCTTTCAACCACCCCCCCTTAACCTCACTCCACCGGTCAGCCGCCCCTTAGAACCTCACCCCGGTCCCCCTTTCTGCCTCCACACCCCTGCCCCACCCACGATAGTCCCTGCAGTGGGATCTCTGCTGGCGGTGAAGCTGCTGGCGGGGTCTCTCTGCTGGCGCTGAAGCTGCTGGCGGGGTCTCTGCTGGCGGTGGAGCTGCTGGCGGGGTCTCTCTGCTGGCGGTGAAGCTGCTGGCGGGGTCTCTCTGCTGGCAGTGAAGCTGCTGGCGGGGTCTCTGCTGGTGGTGTAGCTGCTGGCGGGGTCTCTCTGCTGGCGGTGGAGCTGCTGGCGGGGTCTCTCTACTGGCGGGGGTCTCTGCTGGCGGGGGTCTCTACTGGCGGTGTAGCTGCTGGTGGCTGGCGCTGGTGCAGGTGCCTGGTGTCGGTGCTGGCGGTGATGCTGGCGGACGTCCCGCCGTCACCCCTTTCCCCCTTTTTGCCTCCCCCCCATAGTGCTCCGCCGCCAGCTCCTTCCCCTCCTCCCTCTCCCCCCCAAAGCGACCGCCGCTGCACATGCACAGGGGGGGGGAGACGGGCAGGGGGCTACCGAGCGGGCGGGTTGCACGGACTCGGTGCGCAGGCTCCAGTGCAGGCGGCCGCCACTGGCGTGTCCAGCTGGCGCGTCGGTTGGCAAGGTGGCTGGTGGTCTGCCGCCACGCCCTTCCCCCTTCCCTCTCTCCCCCCACATTGCGACCGTTGTTGCACACGCTTACAGCTGCGACGTTGGGTGACGAGCAGGGGCCGCGGGGCCTTCGATCGAGCGGGACGCATACGGCGGGGTCTCTGACGACGAGCGGTTGGGAGCGTACGGCCGTGCGGGGGGGAAACAAGGGCTCGTCGAGTGTCGCAACGAGCAAGACGAAGGGCCGCAACAGCAGCGCGATGGTGAGCCGCGACGGAGACTTCAACGAGGACTGAGACGGGGACTACGGGGGGGATGGGTCTCGCCATCGTGACGGTCACGAGTGTCACGGCGGATTTAGCGACGAGTGACAAGGGAAAAACGACGGGCTGGCGACGAGGGAAACGCGGCCAGCTCGCCGCCACGCCCGTCGCAATGAGCGCCGTGCCGTGATTGGGTGGGCCCATTAACTTAGGTCACGATCTTACAAGCTCAATACCATGTCAACGTACTAGCGTAAGGTAGGCCTAGGCTTACGAGCCTAGGCCAACGTATGTCGAGAGAGTTTGTGCCAAGCGAGAGAGAATGGGTTGGGTTCACTATAGCACACAAGGTACATATAGCAAACTAGCCAAGGTGCACCACCATATAAGCAAATATATAACTACACTAACACAAACTACAAACAATTATAAAAACTTTGCAAAACATAGTTTGACAGCACCTCCTGCACCTCCAGCACCAGCAGTACCACCTGCTCTAGCAGCTCTAGCACCTCCAGTACCTCCAGCTCCAACGTCTCCAGCACCAGCAGTACCAGCACCTCCAGGGTCAACAGCTCCCGCAGCTCCAACACCAGTAGCACCAACACCTCCAGTGCTACCAGCTCTAGTACCTCCAGCACCGGCAGCAGCTCCAGTACCTCCTGCACCAGTAGCAGCTCTAGTACCTCCAGTAGGACCTCCAGGCCTAGTAGCTCCAGTACCTCCAGCTCCAGAACCTCTAGAAGGACTCGCAGCACCCCCAGAGTCAGCACCCGAAGTCTCAGCACCCCCAAAGTCAGCACCCAAAGTCTCAGCACCCTCAGTTCCAGCACCCTCAGGCTCAGCACCCTCAGTCCCAGCACCCTCAGTCTCTGCTCCAGTGTCCACAGCAGTAGGCTGCAGAGGCGGCGAAGATGGCAGAGGTGGGAACCCGGGGGGGGGGTAGTCAGGCGAGGAGAGCGGGCACCCCCAGACTCACCACCCTCAGCCCCAACTTCAGTAGTCTCCACTCTAGAGTCCACAGCAGCAGGTTGCGAAGGCGGCGAAGACGGCCGTGGCGGGAAGCCCGGGGGGGTCGCCAAGCGAGAAGTGTGGCAAGTGGTTGCCGTGTCATCGGCGATGGCGTCACCCCCCTCAGGTGAGTCAGAGGAGTCAGAACAGATCTCAACTGGCTCATCCAAGGGGGGTGGGTCTACCTGGAACACACTTGAGGGAGCAGGACCCTGTGGGGGGAGGGGGCCTACCGGGGGGGGGACTGGTACCAGGAAGAGGGGTGCAAGGGGGACCGGGTGGGACGCGTGCAGATGAAGTCGGTAGTAACACACCGACTCGTCGAAGGTGACGTCCTGAAAGGACACACGACGCGAGGCAGGGTGGTAGAACTGCCAGGGTGGAGCATCGGTGGGGAAACCCAGGAAGACACAGCGGAGAGTGCGAGGAGAGAGCTTGCTCGCTTTGGTATCGCAAACAAGGGAGAGCGCGCCCCAGACCCGAAACGACGACACATCACCAGGCTGTCCCGCCCAACGAAGTGTGGGCGAGGTCTCTGGAGCAGAGACACGGGGCCAGAGGTTGAGCTGATGCACGGCGTATCGGACCGCAAACGGCCACAGGAAATGGGGAGCAGCCACATGGATCATGGAGGTACGAGCAACCTCCATGATCAGGCCAATGCGACGCTCAGCGATCCCATTTTGCTGCGGAGAGGCCGGAAGCGTGAACAACTGGGCGATCCCCTCATCCTGGCAGAACGTCTCAAGGATGCCAGAAGAGAACTCACCTTCCCTGTCAGAGTGCAGACGCACGACTGGGAAGTCCTGCTGAAAGCGCTTGTGTAGCTGGAGATGAGTAGCACGGATCCAGGGGATCAAAACACCGCCTTGCGACGCAAGGGGAAGACTGTGGTGTAGCGTGTGTAGTCGTCAACAACCAGCAGGAAGTAGCGCTCCTGGTCCGTCCCACCGACGGGGGCCGGGCCCCACACGTCCAGGTGGAGAGTCTGCACAGGAGCAGTGGTCGGAGGAAACTCGGAGGAGTGACCAAGACGGTGGTGCCAGCGCTGAGTCTCGTGCGTGAGTACTCTACATGAGCAAGACGCAGCTAACTGCCCTGACGCAGACGCTCGACTCGACGCAGCTACCTGATCTGACTCAGCCCCCTGTGCAGACGCAGTGGTCAGTGTGTACAGACTAGACCCAGGCTGTCGAGTGAACGTAGCCAGGTGACGGCCAGCCCAGGAGCACGTACAGATCGCCACACGCTGCCCTCCAGGAATAAAGGTATCAACCCAGACATCCTGAATGGCAGCCCTGCTCACCAAGTTCGTAGAGAACGTGGGGAGGTGGAGACCTGACAAAGAGCCGGAGGGGACTGGTGGACAAGGGAGGACCGTAGGCTCTAGCAACCAATAGGCCACCAGAGGGGTCAGCCAGTGAGACCGGGACAGGTGCTGTGAGTGGTATGACTGTGGTGCAATCACGGAAGAAGCAACGTAACGCGCCTGAGTCAAGCGTGAAAGTGTGCAAGACCTCACCTGAGGCAGGACCTGTGGTAGTAGACGCACTAGCACCTAGAGCATCGGTAGACTCACGGGCACCTAGAGGTGCAGCAAACTCACTAGCACCTAGAGCGGCAGCAGACTCACTAGCACCTGGAGTGGCAACAGACTCACTAACACCTGGAGTGGCAGTCCTAACAGAACGATAACCTCCACCACCAGGACGACCTCGCTAAATAACCCACTCACAAAGCTGCCGAGGGGTGGGGTCGTCCGGGAGAAGCAGCGCCCGCTGCTCTCCACCCTTGGCCGCACCAACTGCCGCGGAAGTGGCCATGAGAGACAGTGAGTGTCAAGAGTAGGTCCAGCACCTCCAGCTCCTACAGCGCCAGCAGCACCTCCTGCAATCCCACCAGCACCTCCTCCACTCCCAGTAGCACAAGTAGCAGCAGCAGGGCGGTTCGGTGGGGCTGGGAGGCCGCACCTCCACCACTCCCAGCAGTACTCCCTCCAGCAGCAGCAGTAGAAGGGCGGCTCAGGCAGCAGCAGCAGTAGACCGAGTACCACTAGCTGTAGCAACAGTAGTTGCAGCAGCAGCAACAGTGACAGCTCAGGTTGGGCAGTGCGACTCGGACAGGGCGGCGCGGCTCGGGCTCAGTGGCGGAGCAGCAGCGGCAAGCAGCAGCAGCAGCCGGCGCTCAAGAGCAGCAGCAGCAAGGAGAAGCAGCTGCAGCAAGTAGCAGCAGCAAGGAGGAGCAGCTGCAGCAAGTAGCAGCAGCAGCAGCAACAACAACAACAGCAAGGAGGAGCAGCTGCAGTAATTAGCAGCAGCAAGGAGGAGCAGCTGCAGCAAGTAGCAGCAGCAGCAGCAGGGAGGAGGAGCTGCAGCAAGTAGCAGCAACAGCAGCAAGGAGGAGCAGCTGCAGCAAGTAGCAGTGCCAGTAGTAGTAGCTGTAGCAAGTGCAGTAGTAGCAGCAGCAGCAGTAGTACTAGCTGTATCAGCAGTAGTTGCAGTAGTAGTGCCAGTAGTAGCAGCTGTAGCAAGGGCA